ACATAGATAAGATAGTGAACTAGATACTTAATTAAACTGAGAAATCATTATAATATACGTATTATATGTGTATGATGGTAATAATAGCTGATACTTGATACTAAGTACCTACCTAATTATAATTATTGATTTTTTTGTTAAATGTATTATTTTAAATATTGTTACCTTCATATACCGGACTTTCTTACCTAGGACTGTTTTTCCTAGGTATTTTTTACCACGGTTCACATACTCAATTTCTCCTCTGAGCATCGTTGAGCGTCGATCGAATCTAAAAATGGCACGATAATCGTTTTATCGTTTCATATTGTACAACTATTAATATATTTTTGTTGTTATTATAGTAATTCGTCATCTGCTAAGTGGTGGAAAATGCATCCCTATCTATTTCTCTCGTAGGGTAACCTATATATAAGCACTGCGTATGTACGTGTACGCGTCATGGGCCGAAGCACGGGCTTAAAATGTCACAATTATTTCTAATTTTGATTGCTGAATTTAGTGATGTGGTACTTAGATATATATATATACCTATATAAATAATAATTTTAACACACATTTGACTAGGTATGTTGTTACGCAACGTCATCAAATACATCGTATGTACGTTATAAATTACGGTTTCAAATAGGTACCCGTTAACATATTAGATCGTACTATATGGTGTCACATTATAATAATGTAATTTTAAGTGACTTAGATTGTCCGTCGTAGATTCAAACATCTCTATGAACAGGCTCGAAAATTATCGCATAATATTAACTCTTGCTGTTCAACCGACGGACTATTTCACCGACCAATTCAGTTATCGAAGAAACTGTAAAAACCTGATGATGTACGCATATATTAAGGCTTCAAGTGTGTTTACGAAACTGTATTTATGTCATGCTGTTGTAGTGTGTGAATATTATGTAAATTGTGCAGTGTCTGAGACCGACAACTTATCTCGTATTTCACCATTTCAACGACTAGGTAAATGATGCTACACAAACTCTAAGGGTAGCTGTGTCGGGTAATAAGGTCCCTCGTTCGATTGTATATCTTTACGAAAAATTAAATCCACTGGTAGGTTATAAGTGATTGTTTATTTATTAGTAGTAAATCACACAACCACATTACAGTATGCACGTGTGGCCGCCGTGTTGTGTATATCATCGTCGCCTTCTTCTATACGCGTTTCTGGTAAGGGTGACGTGTTGGTGACACGAATCTCTTTAACCGCCAAGAAATTACATAAGAAAACGATACGAAATTATTAAGCACGCAATGTGCGACAAAAATAAATTAATTCGACGGTAGAAAAAACCCAATACGTAACCATTCGTCGCAGAACCGTATATTACATACGGCGTTGGCGGAGTAGCATATACCTATATTTTGTTCATAATGAGAACCGGTGACGACAATTATTTTGTGAACATTCCGGATGCCCAACTGTACGACTCACGAAAACAATGTACATCTCGTCACATATTATCTCGTGTGCGTACGGTAGTGAAATGGAAGACGCGAGTCGAAACGAAACGCGTCGCAGCGATATGGGTAGGCACGGTGTACGCGTGTGCGCGCTCGGTGCGTGTCAATCCATTAAACGAAACAAAACAGCGGCGGCAGAGGGTCCCAGGTGACGGGCGACTACGCGAGGGATTATATTAATCTCCCCCGAGACAAACGCGTCGAGCACGAACCGTGCACTGTGCCTACACATTTATATAGGTATATCGTGAATTCGTGTCGTATTATTATTACCATCATTATCGTACGTATAGGAAAACACGTGTATTCCGTCGTATATATGTATATTAGGTATATTATTATGTTTAAAGTATAGCGGAACTATTAACGCTCTGGTATTGTGTGCAGTTGGACCTCGAGGCCTGCACCTGCCGTCGTCGTCGCACCCGGCGATGACCCCGTTGGTTGTGTGTGTGTGTGTGTGTGTGTGTGTGCGTGTGTGTGCGTGTGTGTGCGTGTGTGTGTGGGTAGCATTTTGGTCTTGCTGTGGTGTTAAGTACCAGCGAGTTTGAGCACGCGTCTAGCGGGTTGTTACATAATAATATGTGAAATAATATACGTCCAAATGTGTGAGAGATGACAAAATTTGTGGTTGACGTAATTACAGTCGTAATGACGGCACGTATTTCCTAGTTAATAATGGAGTACGATTATGGGAGTTGGGAAAACATATTTTTAAAGTAAATTTATTTGAAAAATGTAATCTGTACAATGTGCATATATATTGTGTACCTACATCAAATATTCCTAAATCATATCAAACTCTAATTATGACACTGAAGTTACCTGAGGATTTATCGTGGAGAGTGGAGACGATACTGCCTTGATACCTACAACATTTCACTCCACGCGGTTTTTTACATCGGCTCATAATTATATAATGTGTATCTTTAGGTATATACTGCATGTGCCTGTGGTTAAAATCGCTATAGTTTTTTCCTTGTTTACATGTGATGAGTGATGAGGGGGGAAGACTCATAGTTTGGCTTGGATCGCGATCGCAGCAGTCGATGCCCCACGATCGTATTTTTGGACTTCCGTCAAAACACAGGGGAAAAAATCGAGGCCAACCCACTAAACGGAATCGGTTTATTAACTCGCAGTGTGGCATATATTATATTCGGTCGTGTGGCGATACTACCTATATATATATATATATATATATTATATACTATTTCTCTCGTAGGGTAACCTATATATAAGCACTGCGTATGTACGTGTACGCGTCATGGGCCGAAGCACGGGCTTAAAATGTCACAATTATTTNTATATATATATATATATTATATACATTATACGAAATATGTTTGTATAACATTTATTATTTGTTGTCGTTAACGCTCGTACGAAATTGGCGCGTGGCCGCTATTGCAGCTGCAGCAGTAATAATGTATATTGTCTGTCCGGTTTTAAATATTTCATATTAATAATAACGCCACTGCCTTCATACTTCGACTTTGTTTGGCTTTAGAGTTTAAACTTATGACTCGTCGTATAGGGACTTTCACTTATAAACACCACCCTAAAATCTAAATGGCGGTAGGGGGTACGTTTAGTCGCTTAGGAATTATTCATGTAATGCTTATTAATGTACGATGCCATCGAGCGTTTTTCCGAGACCCCGGCGGTGGTGAAGAATCGATTCCGTCGAAAATTAAATATTTATGCACGTGTCAAACGACGTTTTTAATAACTATATTCGCAAACGACGGTATTATATTGTACAGCTGATATTATTAAATTAATTACAGCATTTTACTGCAATGGTGGCCGTTAACATATTAATTATTATACGACAATGTCTATGCTTATCGTATGCGTATCACACGTAATCATATAATATATAACACACTCGCACGTCATATTCTGAGCGAAATGTGTTTTTTTTCCAGTATATTCGAACAAGTCTCTTGGGAAACAACTTTTACAAAACAAATAATATATTTACCAACGCCACAATATTATTTACCATTATATTCTACAGTATTTTGCTGTTTTTGTTTTTTGTGTATTATCGTTGTGTTTACAATATAATACAAACGTCCGTTCATAATTTATTTAGGGAGCTGATAACAGACGTTACCACCGCTTTTTTAGTAAACTTATGTGTAACTGCCGATATTTTAACGTGTGCCTGCTATTGCTAAATGATAATATAATAACTGCTGTAGCGATAACGCGATAAACACGCTGCCGCATGTCTTTTCAGTTGGAAATTGAAAAAAAAATGCTATAAAATATTGTTATATAACAATTAATATTATGTATGTTTAATGTTACGTATATTATACTTGCCACGTGTGTATGACTTAATATTCGTTAAACATTCGATTCAGCGTCTGTCCCAGGACCCAGATACACTTGTTTTACTAAATTTTCTTTTTTTATTGTTGCCTATTATGTTTAAAATGTTTCAGCATATAATTAAGTTTGATAAATTATTAACATATTTTATATATTGTAAATATTTGTTACTTGTTATGATAGTAAAGAGTATTGATTTTAGTAACTAGTCACAATAGATAATAGAATTCTTGAATACAAATATAATAAATAAATAATGTAATAGGTTTTGTGTTCATAATTATTTATAGTCGTGGAAGTTTTTTTAGTCTATCGGTAGTCGGTAGGAGTACGTACTACGTCCTGTAGCAGTTGCCAGTTGGTGTCGTACAAGTTTGTTTGTAGTACCGAGCTTCTTGTTTGGAGTTTTAAGTAGACGTTTTTGGATTGGTATTAAAACTGCAGTCTTGAAGAACAAGTATTCCAGTATCATTATGTCTTTGCCTATTCTCCTCGAACTATTGAGCTTTAGAACTTATCAGTAGGAATTTGTTTTGGATGGATTGGATTTTTAATTTTTGTGGAAGAGGCTAATGTCTATGTTTACTAAGTAGACACAGCCGAATTATTGTGATGTGTAGAAGAAGTGAAGATTTTATTCGGAGAGTTTATTTGTAGTTTGCTAAGGGGTGGAGAGTTTTCATTCTGGTACACATTTTAGTAGATGGGAAACTAAAAGTTACTAGTGGGCCAATTTTTAGAAAATTAAAATCTAACGAGCCAGAGAATAGAAAGCCAAAAAAAAAGGGAGGGTGTCATTTAAAGTGTACATTTTAATTAGCATTTATTTTGTTTATAATGTAATTTGAAAATGTAGCTCGGGCCAGATAAAAAAGGCTCGCGGGCCGCCAGTTGCCCACCACTGTGGTTTAATAGCATTGCATGATTTTTTTGTTGACACAATTTTTATATTAATAGTTACTCGCATTTAACCGATGACGCAACAACGTCATGCAGTCCTTACTGCAGGTGTTTAGAACATAATATTTCATATGCGTATAATAGTACTCGGTAAGCGGTAACTCCCAATGCAACGAGGCCCGACCGGGTATAATAAAAATTGAAAATGTATATAATTTTTTTACCTCGGGTTTTTATTTATTTTTATTATTTCCCGGTGTGGCCACTTATACTTTTACCACCATCGGCAAGTCTTGTCCGACGTCCTTACGCAAAATCGCAGTGCGTCGCAATTTTACGTCCTACATGATATACATTATTAACACTATTTCCCTCGACTGCACATTATAAAGTATATTGCGGCTAGATAACGATGACGCGCGCGCGTGTGTGTGTGTGTGTCTCGTCGCTCACTAGTATAGATCTATCCAGACAGCGTTGTCCATAATTTAATATATTGTGCTCACTAGACTATTTCTACGACAATATACGTGTTCCGATCATTGTTAACACGTTGTCTAGAAAATTAATACATATTTATCATAATATCATTCTTCTGTATATGTATTTTTATCACACACGAGTCGTGTCTCTCGTCTCCGACCTAGTCCTGATTTGCACGTCGCTTCCACGCATACGTACTATGTTAACGATATAAAATATTATAAGAGTGTAAAAATAATATACTTGTAGCAACCTAAAGTCGATTTTTTCTAATTTTATTGTTTTTTTTTTATACCTGTGAACAATATTATTGTTGTGTCTGAGGAAATTCAAACTATTTCTTGTTAATTGCATGTACCTACAGTGTACACGTATCTGCCTACACTACACTCGTCGATCGCCAGGCTCAAGAGAAAAGAAAACACGGCGTGTTATTGTTTATCGATTGTACACTATTAAATACTAATAAGTAATAATAAATGTGAAATAATATTATGACTATGTGACATTTTACAAAATATGCCTAAATTATAATGAGAATTATTTCCCTTATGAATTTGTATCCTTACGTAATATCTATCCTTATTGTTACAGCTGGGAGCACGACGGCGGCCACCTGAGAAGTAAGTACTCACAACAATTGTCAATTAATATTTAATACTATAAGACATTTATTTTAAACGGCATGCTGCTTGACACTCCAGCGTAACAATGCACATATTAATCATACGTTAATTGTTGTTCGATGTGGTAATAACATATATATTACATAATGTCACAGGCGGGCGGAAATCGTATTTTTTTTTAAATTGTAATCGCATATAATACATAGCAAAGTGAAAAACTATAACAATTTTTTATTATTATTAAACGAATATTTACAATTTATGTTACAAGGCATAATAGTAGAACATTATAAAATAAAAAAGGATCACACAATAATGATATGCTAGAGGAGGGAGGCTATCCAGAGGTAGAACCCAACGATTAAAAATTAACGCAAAACAAATGTCATTTACAACGCGCACTGTTTAAACTTTAAATAGGCAATTCGAATTAATCACATTAATGCATGTGTAATGTATGTTATATGTTTATGTATTAACGTCATGAGACAAGATATTGCTATCCTAAATTTTGTTATAAAATTAATTTTGTTACCATTTTTAATTAGTTGTCCTGCATCCAGAAAATTGATAAGTATAAAACGATTGTTTGAGAGGTTTTTGACATGTTAATGTTAATAACTTCTCAGGGGTATTATGTACAGATAAAAGTCATCGTGTTTGAACCTGTCAATAAATATTTTTTTCTAATTACCTACCTATTTTTTATGGCATTTTATTTAAGAAATATAATTAATAAATGATTTTGTGACTTTAAGGAGCCTCAATATCTTCATATAATTCAAGTCGATTTTTAAATTCAATATATATATAGGTACTCAGAATAAAAGTATTCAAATATTTGCTACAGTCCTGTATATATTATATTCGTGTTCATTATAGTTTTCCACGAGGTTCTATTTATTATGATTAAGAGGGTGAAATCTGCGATGGCCTGCACGCGTAGGTCGATTGTTGTAATATTATAAGTCCATGATGCTAATGATACGATGAACATATAATATTGTATTATCATTGCAGATGATTACAATAGATAAGTACATGTACAACGTACGATTGTTGTTTGTGCGTGAATGCGCGAAAAATGTATTCCTGTAGGAAATACGATCTCGTCTCGGTAGACGTGATATTATGGCGTTGTGTATTTTCTCGCTACGGCAGTGTATTTAATACTATATTCATTATGTTTGTATAGAAGGTTGTGTAGTTTCATAAGCGGTATATAGGTACTTACATGACTTAGTCTTAGTGTGTATTATATATATTAAGAGAAAGATAGTGTGTGTGTGTGTGTGTGTGTGAGAGAGAGAGAGAGAGAGAGAGAGAAAGGAAATATTTGAGATACTTTTTAATAGGGCTGACAAGAGCAAGATAACATTAGAGAGGGACACGTGTTTGTGCTTGCGGTTGAGCGGAAGGGTCGAAAATAAGATGGGGGTTGAGGGGGGTTGATAACAAAAGACGAAACTTTTCCACCTAAGTCGCACACCGTCATATAAGATCCCGTTCCAAGAAAACCGCGGACTTTTAATTCCTCTAGAAAAGCCCGGCGAACGCAATCGTCTTTCGTGTATGTATACAAACACACACTTAAGACAATATGGACCCGTAGCAGGGTCTTACAGTTATTATTATTATTGTTATGTCTTCTATCGCGGATAAACAAGCGAAACCCGAGACTGTTTTAAGCCTTCCTAGTGAGCGCCTCTTTGCTGGAGAAGGGGAGGGGGGATCAGTGTAGTTCTCTCGGATAAGTCTTTTGCGGGGGCTGATTTTCGTTATGCTATTTATTTATTGAGGTCAACCACTGCGGCCGGTGGTTAACAGATGTTGACCCGAGATCCGCGTATAATCATGGTGTAATGGTCACATGTGCATTTTAAGTCTTAACTAAGGTACCTTTGTATTGTTATGGCCGCTAAACTGATTATCAGCTATCACGTATTACCTATGTTTAGCACACTGAAAACTGAAAAGTGTATTTAACATTTATATTATATTACCTGTATATTGCGCCAGGACATTTTACTTTTTGCTTAGAACATATTTTGCCTCCAGACAATTTTAAAACGTACACAATATATGCATATAATATTATACAAATGAAGAAACTGTATTGTATAATTCAAACTAAACACATTATTTTTTATTAGCTATATCATACCCAAACTAATTTCAGTAATATGTTTCAAAAAATATATATTTTGCTTCCAAGTCATCGCATACTGAATTAAATGTATAATTAGCGACTAACAATTTGTTTTATCTTGCCTGTTGTTTTATCAATACGTGTAACCATATTGTGTGATTGCATAGGTATAGATACGTCATGGTTGGAATACTGTTGCTCTTTTGAACATTTTTTATGATGAGCCAAATATTTGGGTTTATTCAATTTTTTTAATTTTTAATGCTATCTATACTATATTGACATCAAATTAATAAAAATAAATAATAATTATGACATATTCCTGAATCACATTTTACAAACATTAATTGTTCGTCCAGTCCCTAGTTGAGTGCATGAACTCATATTCCAATAACATGGAGGAAAATATGTTGGTGGAGTTTGTTCGAGTGGTACAGAATAATTTGATAATATGTTTTATATTTTACATTAGAGTGATTTGGATCCAAAAAATCCAATGCATTTCGAGCCATTTTAATTTTGTGAGAGAAAATGTTGAGGGGGGTAAGGTGCAATTTTAACAACTGATATTCCCAAAATCCTACCGGTGATGGTTGATGAGAAACACTTTTGTCCGGAAAATCAAAAGACAAACAATCATGACAATAATTATGTTCATAATGCATATAATATTATAAGTGCATTTGGTAGGTATATGATGTTATATGATGTATAATATTAATATAATATTATTGGCGAGTAATGATAAATGCAACTGTGACACGCGCTGCACGATTAATTGTTTATATCGATAAAAACTGCCGCGGCCCGCGAATGCTCGTTAATTATAATGTATTATATAGTTATTATAGTAATTATAGTTTATTATTAATTATTATCGTCGCGTTAATTTCTCTTTCTTTAAATTTAGAGACACTGTTCAATAAAAAATAGTATGTTATTATTATAATATGTCTATCCTAGTACCTAAAGTTCATACATATATAATAGTATGTGTCTGCACAATATTATATTATGTACGATATTGTGACTCACTGCAGACGGCGTGGGACATATTTTACAATAATCATTTTTATACTTTCTAGATTTAAAATTTTTTTTTACTCGCTGTCGACTAATCGCAGTCCGAGACATAGTGGGGCTAAAATTTTGTGTGCTTTCACTTTTAGTAGGCACCGACAAACAACAATATTTATTGACCTCAAATTGTAATAATAAATGTCGAAATGTGCACACATTTCTGCATATTATGTGTTTCTTCGTCACGCAAATATATACCCATCAACAGAAATTACGAATAGATATACGTGCCCATAGTATACGTCAAGTAACAAGAGATCGTAAATTAGATATGACCTTCTGCGGGAAACGTTGGGAATATTACGCGAAATTCATGTCTGCTGTGTCTGATGTAGGAAAAAAAATTCAGTGTCACATCTGCTGCAGGTATGTTATACGAAGTATTTAAAAAAACTAATTTAATATTGGCATCGTTTTTTTCAGTATACCAATACAAGTCTAATGAATAATACCAGATGTTATTTTTATAGCTAGGTAATATGTTATTTGACCCCTCGATTGATAGTTTCAACAAATTTAGACAAAATAAGTTAAATGTTTCAACGCAGGAGTAATTATTCAGATGTATTTTATTACTTGCATACAAGGGAATAATTTTTTAATTTTCTGTATAGTTTATAGCACATACGATTTGGAAAGTTCGGTTAACTACTTACGCGACTGTGCAATTACATATTATTAGTTTGCGTTTAAAAAATACTTGTGAAAATTAAAAATTAATTATTTTAATAACCTGGTTATTACTATGGTTCTTATTTGTTGAAAGGTTAATATTAATTTTGAGATAAATACCTATTTTGGTCTTCGTTTATTATCAATTTGAAGAAATTGATTACACATAAACTCAAGTGAAAATGTCTGAATTGAATTTGAATCGTTAGCTTTAAATAGAATTTAACTATCACAAAATAGTCATATGGGTACACATAAAATGATTAAATTGTACCTTTGAACTTTAAATGTTTTTCTTTCATTAGTAACAAAAACAAATTGTTATTATTTTATTAAATGCATACTATATTTAATGAACGACAATTTCGCATAATCTTTTTGCATTTAAAAAAAAGTATTATAAAGTATAACAAATAAGAATATTTATTGTGTAGCGTGAATGTCGTAGACTCCCGACCAATTGTGTCGGTTAAGCAATTAAATTTTTAAATCAAAGTATTATGATAAAATATATTGTGAAGTTGAGTGATTAAAAACACTGTAAAACTGTTTTTAACATCTAATTAATCAATAATTTAGTAAACTAAAACCTTGAAGTTCATTTTTTTTATTACATTTATTAATAATAATATATTTTGATACTTATGTTCAACTGTATTCGCTTATAGCCATATGTACATATATTTCTAAAAACGTTTTTGACCATCATAAGCGTACATAATAAAAAGTACTCAATGTTTACATCTCTTGTTTTCAAATAACCAAAACCGTTTTTTTTTTTCAAACTAATTATTTCCCTGATCAGAATTTAAATATAAGTGAAGGATAGATGAAAATTTATACATTTAATTTTTAATTCATATTTCACATGATTTCTATACATATTTAAAAAAAATTCTTTTTCATTCTTATAGTCTTAGCACCACCTAGTTGTTCATCAAATGTGTTGTCTATGTTGGCAATGTTTTACTCTCTTTATTTTTAATAATGTAAGTATGGTTAGGTTAGGTAAGTATGGTAATTGAAATGAAAAATGTCTGAATTTTGAAAACTTCAAGAATTTGTGCGAAATAGGAAAATAATAAAAATGTAACTT